AAATATTTTAAAGTATTGATAATACTTACCAACTATTTAATATAATCATCAGTTGCTTGACTTTCTATACTAACTATTAAGAAACTATACAAGAAAAAATTGAAAAAACACAACTAACAAGCATAAATAAACTCTAAATTGTTCAACTAATAAGATTTAATAAGAAAAAAATTATTAATTTATTTAGAAAAAAATAAAAAAATCTATTTATCCAATTTAAAAAAAAAAATTCGGTTCTTATTCGGTTCTTCGGTTCTGGGTCTAGAACCGAGAACCGAACCAAACCATTCGGTTCTCGATTCGAATACCTGTTCGGGTATTTCATTTAAAAAAACCCGCTCGATTCGGTTCGGTTCGATTCAGACATTTTGCCCAGCCCTAGATAAAACAATGTCTAAATCTCTTTGAAATGACTGAGATAGTTTCATTCCAATTTCAATGGTGCTACATGTACATGGCCACGTTGCCATGTACGTGAAAAAAGGGAGGACAACCTTGAACGTCCCCAATGTTTATATGGAAATTCCATATGTATAGAAAAGAAGCAACAGAAATTCACCAGAATACACACAAACAGTGGGCCCCACCGTGTATTAAAAAAATGCGCGGGACCCACATGTGAGTCTATTATGTGGATTTTCTGTTGCTTCTTCTTCTGTGCAAGATGCAGAGCTCATGTTTATATGTTTGCTCCCCAATCAGTGACCTTTGTGATATGCTGTCAAATGATATTACTTAAAAACAAATAACATCAAAGCACCAGTTGCCTAGTTGTGGAATAGTACCCTCACACAGTCCAGACCTTGGTTCGATTCCCAGCTGGTGCGTTATATTAAAAAGAGCTGCTGTGAAGAAATATTTGTGCTAACAGTGGTGATTGGGTCTCCACGCCCGTCTGATCTTCAGATGAGAAGAGCACGTCCGAGCAGCTCTTTTAATTTCTTTAACTATTTTTTACTTTACAACAATTTTTTATATCGATTAGGATGATAGCTAAAAAGCGAACATTAGCCTTATCACAGTAACTGCTGATAGCTTTCACATAAATCAACTAAGAGTCCATTTAATTGCAAATGTAAAATTTGAGTGGAAAAAAAATGAATCACTAGAAATTGAATTGCCTAGAATTTGTTTTACTGAGAATTGTAATTAATTGTATTTGATTGATATAATTTTCCACCTGAAAAATGTTGAAAGTTTGGTATCCGTTTGACTTCGTTTTTCATGAAAATTGTTCATTAAAGTGATAATTTTTTTTACCATTGGGTCTAAAATTTGTTCAAATTGCCAAAAAAAAAACTGAAAAATCGGTGGAAATTGGTTTTCCACAAAAACCAAGGAAAAGATGACCGTGTGAGCTAAACCAAGAAAATGAATTTCATGGAAAAAAAAAAGGTCAAACAAGGCAAAAGTGGAAGCTGGAATTTGTTTTCCATTTTCCATGGAAATTTTAGGTGAATCAAACATGCCCTAACTGGTAACTATCCCACCTGCACTAATGGCAGGTATTTCAAAAGTAACTCAATAAAGCACAACCAAGTGTCAATGGCTGGTCATCTATTAAAAAGGCAAACATAAATGCAACCATAAAAAAACCAGAATGAACTCCAAATCCATAAAAAGTACTATGAGAAACATGGGTATGAAAATGAAGAAAATGTCCAAAACTTCTATTAAATGAAAGGGAGAAAAACCGTGTAACTAGCACTCCATGTATGGATGTAAAAAGAAAAGTGTCTCCCATGTCACTCATCAGTTGAGCCGGTAAACAGGACATTTCGCCCTCCAAATTATTGGAATGTTTTGCTCACAAGAAGCAGCCGAGCATGCACGTCCTAGATGTCAAAGGTGAAAGGCCTAACCAATCAAGAAGCATGCACAGCTCAAAACTATTGATGCCTAAAAAAGACAAGTAAAATGAAATGTATTATGAGAACGATGAACTGCCAGGGGTAGATATGAACCTTGATGAACTTGCAATGGTCATTTTGGCTCCTTCGGAAAGTGAAGCTTGATGAGCATGGGAAGCTCAACAAGTTCGACCTGTGACTTACCCAACAAAATGCGCTTCAGCTTTTCATCACAGTTGACAACATTTTTATTGTTTGGATCCTAGAAATATAAAATATAAATGCTGGTCAATGATAGAAATATTGCATTGACGATATCACTAAATCTTCTGAAAAGCACCCCCTTCCCCGAAAAGAAATATAAGATAAAGGATGGTACGCATTCTTACTTCTGCTTATTAAACAGACATGCAGCATTTACCAAGTAAAAGGAAAAAGTTACTTTATCTCAAGAATTTCAAAAAATTTGCCGGTATCCAGGCTGGGGAATGTTAGTTAGCTTGCATCAAATTCTTATGGTTAAAGATAATTTTGGCAAAACGCATATTCAATATGAAGCACTCCCAATTAATTTGTTTAGGAAACAATTTCTCAGAAACTGCTTTCTCCTCCTACTCTGAATTGTTTTTTTTTTTTTCTTCCTTTGTCAAGTCTCTCATTATGAAATTTAATTTCATATTAACCTCATTAACAAACAGTCAAAAAAATTGAAGCTTTTTAGGAGCTGGAGCATCATATTGCAAAGTTGCTTTTTTCCCAATAACCGGCTAGAGACATGAAAACCCGTCCCTTTACGGGACATTATATAAATTACTTATTTTGATTTCCATTTCCATGCTCATTGCAAATTAAGTCAATATGGGCTTTCAAAGGGGTTCACATAAGAGATAAGTGCTTATTGCTAGACAGTGTACCATTTCATATGAAGGGGAATTATATCTGCTTCCAAAAATATCTACTTGTCTAGTAATTTCAGTTTCCCACAAATAAAATATCTTTGTTTCCTCAAAAATGTGAATGAGCAATATCTCATGAAATTATACGCAAGCATTTCACGTATTAGATCGATGAACACATTCAAATGAAGAGAGGTAATTCTCTCCTTTATTTCACACAAAATCAGGAATTCAAAACCAATATAAGCTCAACACTGTAACAACTCTAATGCGTCCCACATGGCTAACTTAGCTCAGTGGACCCACCTTGGGCACCTTACCCTAACAAGTTAGTTTGAAGGGTGAGTTTTAAGAATAGTCATCGTAAAAATGGTATTGGAGAAGTCATCCCCTAGACCTGAGGTGCTGTAACTACTCTATTGAGTCCCACAAAGCCAGGTTAATTTCACAAGTTAGTCTTAACGGTGGGTTAAAAGTGCTGGGAACAAACAGTAGAACTTTAGAAAATAAAAGTTTAACCATAACTACGAATTAAGAACCAAGAGCAATAATATCATATACTTCGAAAGTGGGACTAGGATTTAACCTGGAGATTGTTTTCCTTGATATGCAACCAAACACGCCTAAAACAACCCAACCGAGAGCTCTGCGACTGACCCATGAATTCTCTTAGTGTTGAAGGGAGATTCACTAGGTCAATCAAATTGGCAAGTTTCTTAGGATTTTCCATGACAGCCTTTCGCATCCGCTGTGGTATCATTTTTCCCAAATTTCTTTCTGTTATGCAAACACATAACTACAATCAAAGTCTAATTTAAATAATACAAAAACCATTAATTTTTACAACAGACAAATATGGAAAAGCCAGTAAGTTGAAAATTGAAAACCTAAAATTAAACTCGGCAATCCAAAATTTTAGGTGGCCGAATCGTAATTCTAAAAGTAATTTAACCAAACACTTTGACTGCGGTGTATAAACTTGAAAGAATCTTTGAATTAATACCTGAAGCCTGGACTACTGGAAAGTGTCGATTCAGCACAGACCAAGAACTAGACCTAGAAGAACTTGCGCCTCCAAGAACTTGAAAGTAAGCAAAAGGAACTGTGTATTTATGGCGATGGAACTGCAAGGTAGCATTATATTATAGTGGGGAAAATTACACCTGGGTCCCCCAACCTATACAATGAAGATCATTTAGGTTCCAACCTTTAAAAAGAAGCAATTGAGTACATAGCCTTTTACCTGTGTGCGTTTGAATCTTCAATGAACAAATTATTCAGTTATTTTGGATAAAAAAGGTAGAGAATGCAAAGGTAAAATGTGTTTTTCAACTACCAATACCAGTGGCTCCATTTTATAACTTCCGTATACGTAGTCGGCTCGTGGGCTCGGCTCGTTGCCATCGAGCCACGAGCCGCTCGGGCTCGTCAAAAGACGATCCCGAGCCCGGCTCGGCTCGTTTTTCCACGAGCAGCTCGTGGGCTCATGAAAAAACATTAAAAAAAAAATTGACGAGCCACGAACTGAGCCGAGCTCGTGGGTTTAAGGGCCGAGCCGGCTCAGCTCAGCCCATTGACATCTCTACGTATACAAAAAGTAAGACATGTTATCAACACTCGTAAGATGTGTTTATAAACACTTGTTAAACAAACTTAAGACAACAATTACAAAAGCTATGGAAAATGATGCTTATATCGAAACGAAAATTGTTTCAAAATTTTCCATGTTCAAATAACAGATTTGTGTGTTGGCCATTTGATCGACTTCATTCTAACTATGCCACAAAATGCTTATCACAAATGGATATGCTTAAGTGAATTGAACAATAGAACAAGGACAATCTTCGTTATGTTTCATTTTTCATTTGTTAAAACGTGCATACAATCTATTACAGTGTTTCTCTTCAAAATACAAGGAAAAGTTTGAAAAGAAAACTCTCCTAGTTGTTAGCTACAATAATAATGGAGTTTACAAATTTTAAAATTGTTGATGTCCAAAGTCGTACATGAGCATACCTAAGTTTGAACTTGCAATGACTCGAGCTAGCTATGTTCACGAATAGAGTTTTCCATAAACATACAATAAAGGCTTGGGGTGTTGACTCCATAGCCCATTCAATACCTCAAGAGAACTATAATACACATGAAACACTATATCAACGAGATAGGATTGGACTCCCGACGAAGAAGGTTTCCTAATATGGCTAGAACACATAACGAGCAATATATTGTAATAGGAAGAATTTTCTTTGGATGAAGGAAACTTGTGGGTAATGGTGTCAAATAGGTCGAGTAGGCCACGACTAGTGGCTCGTCAAATACGAGCCCAGCTTTTGCTTGGCTCGTATGTCTTGAGCTCGTAGCTCATGGGCTGAGCCGATCTTGTCTTTTTATTTTTTATAACACTTCTACTAGGCTACAATAATTATTTGGACAATTGAAAATATTGATATAACAATCTTTCTGTTCGTTGAATTGAAATATGGAATGTATAGAATTTATATGATGATTGATTTGAATTGAATTGTATAAATATGAAATGTACAAAGTTGTAGAAGTAAAATGTAGAAATAAAAAATTGAATTGAGATATAATTTTTTTTATAAAAAAAACCCCTCCTTTTATTTGGGCTTGAGACCGGCTATTTATTTTCGAATAGGTAGAGTAAAGTACTCGAACAACTAATTACATGCACAATTTTTTCTTGAGGAAATGGATTCTCGTTTCCGGAAGCTTGATTTTTTAAAAAAATAAGCAATTCTTGTTTTTGTTAAAGATGTAGAGATCATTCTGATTGAGTCAGGAATTTTAATTCTACGAGTCCTTTTCTAACGAGTTATGGGTTCACTTGCTTCCTTTCCCATGTAAATTTGGTTACATGGAGAAGGAAGCTCATAAAATCATACCTTGTTAGAAAAAAGAAAAAGACTCGTAGAACAAAAACTCTTAACTCAATCAAGATGTTTGACAATTGAGATTTGAAAATTTGAAATTAGACTTTAATTTTTTTTAAAAATCGTTTTTTGAAAGCCAAACCTCATGCTTGGGCTTGACCATGGACGAGCCGGAGCTACCCATTGGCCGAACATTTTCGAGTCAAGCTAGCGAGCTACTCAGCTTGATTGTCAACCCTACTTGTGGGGTGGTCAAGGTCCTCGAGAAAGGATTTAGAGTTGACTAATTTTGACCTTATAAAAAATAGTGCTTAAATTATTTTTCATTTTCACCTTTTTAGAAACAAACATTAGATGAAACTAACGAGTATGTCTTATATAAGAGTTGTTCCTGCATGTACATGGACCCCACTCACAACTCACATAGAGGTAGGTCTCTAGGATAAACAAAAAGGTTTGAACGAAGTGAAAGAGTTTTTAGTTGACTTAAAAGAAATACACGTAAACAAAGAAAGGTGAAAGAACAATGCTAAATCTACAGTCAAAGTTTTAACGTTTCATTGTTTTCAAAAAAAATGTTGACGGGAAAGTGTGTAAGTGTGTGTGTGTGTGTGTGTTTTTTTAATTATACAGTGCAATGTCGCCACATGACATAATGTAAAAAAGAGTGTACATGTAGCATGATTGAAGTGAAAATTTGGCTTGTGTTTGAATCTAATTTTGAGGAGAACATAAATTTTGGAATAGTGATTGATGTGAGAATGTGTGGTAGAAAAGTGATGAAAATTTTTTGATTTGTATGTAATATTATCTCGTATGTCTTGAGCTCGTAGCTCGTGGGCTGAGCCGATCTTGTCTTTTTATTTTTTATAACACTTCTACTAGGCTACAATAATTATTTGGACAATTGAAAATATTGATGTAACAATCTTTCTGTTCGTTGAATTGAAATATGGAATGTATAGAATTTATATGATGATTGATTTGAATTGAATTGTATAAATATGAAATGTACAAAGTTGTAGAAATAAAAAATTGAATTGAGATATAATTTTTTTTATAAAAAAAACCCCTCCTTTTATTTGGGCTTGAGACCGGCTATTTATTTTCGAATAGGTAGAGTAAAGCACTCGAACAACTAATTACATGCACAATTTTTTTCTTGAGGAAATGGATTCTCGTTTCCAGTAGCTTGATTTTTTTTTTTAAAAAAAAAGCAATTCTTGTTTTTGTTAAAGATATAGAGATTCTGATTGAGTCAGGAATTTTAATTCTACGAGTCCTTTTCTAACGAGTTATGGGTTCACTTGCTTCCTTTCCCATGTAAATTTGGTTACATGGAGAAGGAAGCTCTTAAAATCATACCTTGTTAGAAAAAGACTCGTAGAACAAAAACTCTTAACTCAATCAAGATGTTTGACAATTCAAACTTGACTTTAATTTTTTTTAAAAATCTTTTTTTGAAAGCCAAAACTCGTGCTTAGGCTCGATCATGGACGAGCCGGAGCTACCCATTGGCCGAACATTTTCGAGTCAAGCTAGCGAGCTACTCAGCTTGATTGTCAACACTACTTGTGGGGTGGTCAAGGTCCTCGAGAAAGGATTTAGAGTTGACTAATTTTGACCTTATAAAAAATCGTGCTTAAATTATTTTTCATTTTCACCTTTTTAGAAACAAACATTAGATGAAACTAACGAGTATGTCTTATATAAGAGTTGTTCCTGCATGTACATGGACCCCACTCACAGCTCACATAGAGGTAGGTCTCTAGGATAAACAAAAAGGTTTGAACGAAGTGAAAGAGTTTTTAGTTGACTTAAAGAAATACACGTAAACAAAGAAAGGTGAAAGAGCAATGCTAAATCTACATTCAAAGCTTTAACATTTCATTGTTTTCAAAAAAATTGTTGACGGGAAAGTGTGTAAGTGTGTGTGTGTGTGTTTTTTTCTTTTTTTTAATTATGCAGTGTAATGTCGCCACATGACATAATGTAAAAAAGACTGTACATGTAGCATGATTGAAGTGGAAATTTGGCTTGTGTTTAAATCTAATTTTGAGGAGAACATAAATTTTGGAATAGTGATTGATGTGAGAATGTGTGGTGGAAAAGTGATGAAAAGTTTTAGGTTTGTATGTAATATTATTTTATTTGAAAAATGTGTGGTTGAAATGAAGTATTTTGAGGAGAATAGAAATTTTGGAATAGTGATTGATGTGAGAATGTGTGGTGGAAAAGTGATGAAAAGTTTTTGATTTGTGTGTAATATTATTTTATTTGGAGAATGTGTGGTTGAAATGAAGAATGAAAATGAGAATGAGAAATGTATTTGTAATTTCACATCCATTTTGTTTACTATACTGTATACAATGTATATAAATTTAATTATATTAATCTCAAATTAGCTTCATAATAATAATGCATTAAAAACTATAAATCATTATAACAATGAATTAGTTTCCATTATTCACCTCTCCATATCACATTGTTTATGGTCAATCATGTAATTTGGAAAAATATCGTGGAAATTGAAATGCTGTTTTAAAAAACAGGCACCAATGGTCTTGTGGTAGAATAGTATCCTGCCTCGGTACAGAAGCGGGTTCGATTCCCGGATGGTGCTTGCATAGATGCAGTGAAGAGAAATTTGTTCTTTTTCTACATTTCTTATCACTAAAATTGAAGGCATTGTCTTCAATCTCAAACTTGGCGAGACAAAATGCCATTGTCTTCAAAGAAGCGAACTCCCTGCCGGATCTGCATAGCTCCAGAGGAGTCCATGCATCCCAATTTTGGTCAGCTTCTCCTCCAAATAAATACAAAATTAATTGGGATGCAGCAGTTGATGCCCCAAACTGTCGTGTTAGCATCGGTGTTGTGGTGAGTGACTGGTTGGGACAGTTTAAAGCTGTGTTGATGTGCCAAAGGAAAGCACTTCCGGATCCATTCTTGGCAGAATCCATCGCAGCTTTGGAAGCAGTGTCGCTTTGCAAACATCTTGAGTCGAGATCGATAATTTTAGAAGGAGATGCGCAGAATGCTGTTCAGGGAATTAATGGTGTTTCAGATTTTTGGAACTATCCTGGCCTACTGATTGAGGACACTCAGATTTTGCTTGGTTCTTTCCATTCTTGGTCAGTTGTTTATGTTCCTCGTTTGATTAATGATGTTGCTCATGCTCTAGCAAAGGAAGCGCTCAAACTCTCTGAAGAGAGAATAGTGTTGGAGAGCCCTCCTCCTTGTATCTATCATTTGCTTTCGTGAATTTATGATAAGTTCGTTCTATTCCAAATAAATAAATAAATAATTGAAGGCATCAAATACTGTGTTGAGGGATACGTCCTCGCCTGGGAAATATACCTTCATGTATTTATTTGAATTTTTCTCTTTCATTTCCAAAAAAAGTTAATTTAATCAATGGTAATTGAACTTTGCTATAAATTACTATTTGCGTATTGAAATTCAAAATGTTATTCTTCACTAATTGCTCATCAAAATTTGAAAAGTTAGCCGTTGTTCACCCAAATTTGAATAAAATTATTCATTAATCACCCATATTACTTCCATCAATGTTGACTGTTGAGCAACGAGCACTTTTATTCAAATTTATGGTAATGACAGAGTGGAAGTAGTTGGCCAGGCATGGTCTTAAAAGCTACAACCTACATGTTTGTGCTTTACTAGGCTTGTACCAGGCACGACAATATACACATGTTTCCAAGTAGTCAAACATAAAACCATGGTGTGTTCGAGGGTTAAAAATCTCAATAACTACTATATTTTCACGTTGTTCAGAATGAACAAAAAGGGATAAGTTGGGGTTATCGACCGGGTGCACGGATCACATCAACAAGAAAATAGAAATCATGCTACAACAAACAGAAAATTCATAACGAGTGATCAATGCGATGAACCAAGCCGAACAACAATTCATTGTGATTTCTCGGTTTACATTGAAACCTGAGAATCTGCTTTCTTTACAATGACAACTGAAACATTAAAATGGCGCTGCCAATGCCACAATAAAAACATGCAGCAATGTAGGAATGAACACATCATAACCTATGAACAGAACAGATATAGCAGATTATACAGAACAGTCCGGGTGAATGCTACTGATCCGCACTAGGAACACAAAAATAGATTTGCTAACCGAATTTTACAATGCACTTTGCTTATCTTAATGGAAAATTCGAAGAAACAAATTTCCCCCCACCCGCGCAGAAGGATAGGTCAGTTCAAGCAATCATGAAGGGAACAACTAAAAACAGAATTTGCAAGAAAGAATTGCAGTAGCAAATGTGTAAAGAACTTGTACGCAATTGATTGTATAATGTAGCATGAAAAGAAATATAATCGATAAAATGAGTACAGTGACAAACATAATAAAAAGGCATAAATCGATCAATATTGCAGTCAATTTAGCATCTTAGAAGGAGGTTATGAGATATTCTGATGAAAAGCTACTTTTAAGTAAACGGTATTAAGAGCTTGTTTGGGAGGGATTAAAATCAGATTAAAATTGAAAATATAGCCGTTATTGTTGACTTTTATTAGACGGGTGGGACCCAATAACGACCATATTTTCAATTTTAATTGGATTTTAAGCCCTCCCGAACGGGGCCTAAATAACTAACCCTGTTTGATTGCAATGAATTCCATAGAAAATATCACATTCGAGGAAAACGAATTACACTCTGTTCGATAAAATGAGTACAGTGACAAACATAATAAAAAGGCATAAATCGATCAATATTGCAGTCAATTTAGCATCTTAGAAGGAGGTTATGAGATATTCTGATGAAAAGCTACTTTTAAGTAAACGGTATTAAATTCCAATCTGCTTCTATTTTGTCGTAACATTGAGATGCAGGTTTTAAACCTGTAACGGCATATTAATGACAAATCATCCATAAGATCTAACCATATTGATCTGCTAGCATAAATGTAAAGGCAATGAATCTACCCGACAAATACCTAATCATTATGGAAATCTAACCATAATGAACTGATACCAAAAATTCATGAAACACATTAAACTTGCATGCGGTGATTTTAAGCAAAGCGGAGGCCTCATGCACAAGTCTTGGACAAGAACAATGTAAAAACAAAAAAGAGGAAGCAATTTCGAGGGATGCGGAGCTCCTTTAGGTAAGGTTATTGTTAAGTACAAAAGCTCAAAGGCAAAAACTTGAACTTGACAAAAAGATAAGAAGATTGCTTTCATAACTCATAATACCTTCAAGCATATCAGAATCAATAGACAGTTAGCAAAACCTAAGTAGTAAAAGCTGAGATAGGCCAGTCCATCAAATCTTACTAGTGAGCCAAACCAAACAATAAATGCAGATAGGCGAACAATTCAAACGAGCCTGCAAGATAAACTAAAGTTACACCAGTCCATCCTGATCACTAATGACCAACATTTTAATCACATTAGATGTATATAAAGCTAGCAAACAATATGCAGCTCAAATCGTCCACAAGAATGGCAAATCATATGAAACAAATGAAATGAACATAACATGGAACAAAATTTATTGCGGCATAAGCAGTCATTCTTGTAGCATTGAATGAGATGAAACTTCCATTTTTACATTAAAAGATCCGGAAATGGATATCATAAATCAACGCGAAAAAACAAATCCAGAAACGACACATAACAGATAGATAATAGACGTTCTTACATCTAGTTTTAAAAGTAAATATACCAATACACAGGTCCTCTCAACAACAGATTTCATATACATTCCAAAGAAGTCAATAGGATAGTCGATGACACGCAATCATCAAAAGACCATAACATCACAAAGGGACACTGAATATCCATCCCTCATAATATCCTCTATTTTCAATAACATCAATTTTATAAATCTAATAATTCAAGTAAATTCTCTTCAAACAACAGGATACCCATAGCAGTCTGACCTTCAACCCACCTTAGTTTTATCTCACCAGAGGCTTTACCCTAGCTATGAGCATTTTTTTCATTTTTTTAGGGTTTTTCTCCGCAAAACAAAAACCAAAAAGTTAAATAAGAAATAAGTAATTTAACTAGATGAATTTCTTCCAAATGATTCGGTCGTCATCAGGGAACACATTCAAAGCCGGAGGGCCGTGTAAGCTAGGTCGCACACGTCAGGGTCTACACCATCAGCGTCCATTGGCGGCGGGAAGTTGAGGTCGAAAGAGAGAGGCTTTTTACAAGAGGAGGAGGCTATGTCGCATTCACCATCGTCCACAACGGAGGAGGAGGAATCACAGTCGCTGTGACAGTCTTCAGGAGACATCGGTGGCGACCTGGGATATCTCCTTTGCGGCTGAATGAGTTGCGGCGGCCCCAGCTGCCTGTGTCCACTAAACGACTCGACGGTGCTGCTCATGCCACTGGAGGTGGGCCTCTGCGGGCCAACTATCTGACGGTCTTGAGGGTAAAATCGAGGATCCACCATGAACGGATCGTTAGGCTGATTATTGATCTGTTGATTATTAAAATTTTGAGGGTTGAATTCATGGAAGACGCCGTTCTGGGCGTTGGATAACGGAAAGTTCGTCTTAGCCTTGGGGCCCCGGAGAGATCGAGCAGCAGCGTCGTAGGCCCTGGCCGCGTCCTCAGCAGAATCAAACGTACCTAGCCACACCCGAGTCTTCTTCCAAGGGTTTCTGATCTCTGCAGCAAATTTTCCCCATGGTCTCTTTCTCACTCCCCGGAATCTGATCTCCTTAGGTTCTCCAGATCCATTAGCCTCTCCGCCGTTTGCCGCCATTTGCCTTGTCGCCGCCGGCCCTCTGCCTCGCCTCATCGTCAAATTCGGTCGATACAGCCACAAAAATTTAATTTACGAGAAGGAAAACAAACAAATCTTTCCCTCAAAACTCAAAAGAGAAAGCTTTAGATATTAGATTAGAGAGAGAATGAATACATATGTACAAAAAAACCAAACAAAACCAGAGAGAGAGAGAGACCAGATTGTGATAATTTTTTCTCTCTCTACTGTGTGTGTTGTGTGTGAAAAGAGAAATGGGTGGAGAGAGAGAACAGAGTTTTTTTTTTTTCTAAAAATTTCTTTTTTTGGGGTGGATTTATTTTGCTTTCTCGATTTCTCTGCCTTGATGAAAAGACCAAAACAACCTTGTAATTTTCATTAATCGGGTAGTATTTTTTTGGTGGGGAAGCAGTTTTGTTAGGTCTTTTCCTATGTATCCTTATTTGCGTGAAAGAGCGGGAAGGATGGCGTAATAGATAACCGTAGTTTTCACTAAATGCCAATGGAGTAAACCTTCGTTACGTGATAGTCTCAATTTGGTTTGGTGCCGTAGTATTTGTACATAAAGACATGTTGCAATGTATTTTGATTTAACATTTGCACATACACATACTATAGATATTATGTGATCGTGGTTGCACTTATTTTACATGTCCCATATTGTGAACATGTGCACATATCGTTTAGGTATTTATAATCGTGATACTCTGTTTAAATTTTAATATGTCACACAAAAAATTTATTAAATGCATGAATCTAACTTTTAAACAATTTTCTCAATGCGTTCAAAATATGAGCTTGGCTGAAGTTCGATTGATAATTCAAAAATTAGGCAAGCAAGATTCTGAATTGCACGACTCAAAACAATTTTTTTAAAGTGAAATATAAATAATTACGCGTATGAACTACATTTTAAACTTGAATATGTGATTATGTTTTCATTTAATTGTATAAAATAGCAAATACAGAAAAAGAAGAATAACAAAAGAGGCCGTCTTCTTCCTTCACCCATCTCACCCCCAACCACCAAATCTTGAAGTTCCAGGTTGAGTTCGAGGGAGACAAAATTTGACCTTGTCAATTTGTGATATACTTGTTAATTGTTATCGTCTTCGACTTAATAGAACAATTAATAAAATTTATTACGTATTCTTTCGAAGATACTTTGATACATGAATGCTCACTTTTTCTTTTGAGTTAAATATGCCTTTAGTTATTTCATTTCCAACACCACCACGTGAAACAAGATTAATTATGCAAAAACTCATAGTTGAGTGAGCATAAGGAAAACTTGGAAGTGGCGAATTTAGCCTCTATGAAACGTTCGAGTTATGTCCCAAGAAGTTTGTTTGGAAAAAATCTGTGAGGTGGGCTGTCGGCCCTAATCTTGGATGACATTGCCTGTAGAGCATCAAACAATATTTTTGAAGTATTTCATAAATCTTCAAAACGAGGATAAAAGTGTTGTAAAATAGAAGAATAATGTTATTTAGCATAAGTGTTATTAGAATACCAATTGTACTCTTGATAGGTTCAATTAAATAAATAATGTGACGTTACACTTAAATAAACGTGTCATTTAATGCCATAAATTTGGTATTATATGATACCAAATTGTGCTGCATATCATTGCTCAAAATATAATCACAGTTTCCCTCGAATTATTTCAACGGACCATGCTGCATGGACCCACAGCCAGCACTGTTAATCCCATAACGGAACCACCTATATGGACCATAGTCTATGCCAGCCAGGGGCGGACCCACATGGGGTCATGTGGGGTCAAATGACCCCACAATTTTTTTTTTTATTTATTTTTTTTTGAGTCTTTTTTTAAAACTTTTTTTCCATTATTTTTTGTTTTTAATTTTTCCCCATTATTATGTATGTAAGATTTAAACCACCTAACTAAAAGAATGATACCAAAAGTAGTGTCAGAATTCTAGATGACGAGAGTTGATTTGATGAAAAATACAACTTTGTTTTAAACAGAATGATAGAATGTCATGTAATATTATGTTAACTATTATGTCAATTATTCTAACACTGTAGCATAGTTCAAAATTTAATCCATTGATCACTCATCTATTCTAACGGTTACCTATTCATCAATGATTTGAAATTCATTATTCTCAAATTGGCGAAAATCATTGCGTGCCCAACAAAATTGACTGAAAAAATAGTAAGATTGATCGTGCCAAGTGTTTCCACGACCAAATGTCAAACGATCGCTAAAAATTAATAACAGTGACCACTATATGGTTACTGGTTGGGTGTCATATTCATCGACCACCTTCTTTGGTCGGTGAAAATGTTAAATCTAAGTGAAAAATCATGCGTTATTTTACGTATCAAGTGTAATTGCTTTGTCAGTTTATCTAACTTAGTGATTTAAAATAGAATTGTTTGTAAGTATTTTCTGTAATGAAAATTGTCAAGAATCAACTGCGTAGTCGGATGGGAGCTCAATGGTTAAGTAATAGTTTTGTTGCATATATTGAAAACAATGTACTTAACAATATTGATAACGATATAATTATACGACGTTTTTACAGTATGGAAATGAGTAGGCTACAATTGTAATAGCGTATTGACTTATTTTCGTTAATAATATGTAATTCTAAATATTTTTGAATTTTCATTTTTGATCTCACAAGATAAATGATCTGGATCCGTCCCTGCCAGCAGCAATTGATTTTTATATTTTTACAAGCTAATGCCAACCCGACCAGAGAATACCAACCAGCCGTGGCCCAGATTGAGGGAGTAGTACATGGGGCCCCCAGAATGAATGTTTGACCACAAAAACCACTCTAGCCAGGTTTCCCCGCCTTAATTGACAGGGAACCGGCTAAGCAAAAGGCTGGAGATATGGGTGACCGGCTCTCATCCCTATATGATGACACGTTTCAATTTAAGTCATCAATTGTATGAATTTTCAACGTTGAACGTTGACCGCAGAAGCTCGATGGTGGGTGCGGGTATTATGCGGCCAAATTACGTTGCTTGTTGTGACAATACAATTGGCCTGCAATTGTTTTTTATTTTTTCAAGTAAAGGTTGTTTGTTTGGTAAACTAATGAGTGCGATGTTTAATGATATTTTTTAAAAAATTCAAAATTTCATCCGTGATTACTTACATCTTAAACATATCAATCCATTGTTGGAAAAAATAAATAAATTGAATGATTGATTTTGACATAAATTTTGAGTGGAATCCGTTTGTTTATTTTGAAAGTTCATGCTTAATTTGTGTTTTCCTCCGTGAGAATATTGAAACAATATATTTACTTGCCAAAAATGATGTTCGAGTGAATGAAAAATTAGAGCTCAAAGTGATGAATTAGAAGATATTTTGTGTTAGAAGAAAATTAGTTAAAGATATCACACAGGAAAATAGATAAAGCCAATGACTACTTTAAATATGATTACATTTTAGAAGGGTGTAATCATATGTAGTATAGAGACTCTCTCCACGTGCACGCATGAGGGTGCAAATCACGCACAAAAAAAAAAAAATTCGGACCTTGAACTTGTATGCGGACACGATCTACGTACACGAATGTCAGTTAGTTAGTTGCACTGCCGATATTTGTTCTGTTCTTACGATAATTTAGTTGCTCTACCAGTATGTATTTTGTTAATACGGTAAGTTAGTTGCACATCCGGTATGTGTCCATCCGATATTTGTTAAGCCGGTATTTATTCACTATTATTTTGTAACATCCAATACATGTCTTGATATCGAGAATCTTTTTCAAGTTTTAGTTGAATCCAATCGCAATTATATCTAAATCAATATGACCACATTGGCAACAATATGGGTTGATGCATATCTTAATCGAATAATTCTTAAAGTACATAATTTTTTTCACAAATATTGTGCTGGATGCATATCTTGATTGAATAATTCTTCGAGTACAATAATTCTTCGAGTACAATAGTCCTCTTGTTATTTGTTATTGTTAAAAATTGTTTTTGGCAACATCCAATAACTGGAAGACAGAAATCTATGAAAAGATTATGTATTTATAGCATGATTGATCTTAATAGGGGAGCCTTGTCCGTGCCTCAATCCCCAATTAAGGCCCAGTAGGACAATTCCTATTTCTAGTCCCATTTATTAGTGCTATTTCTGTCATTTTCTCTTTAAATGACATTTCTCTTTAAAATGAGTAAACAATCTCAAACAGTATTGGACCAAAACAAAAATAATTTCACTTTGTAGTTCTCTTATTTCTGCAAACCAATAATTTGTTTTACTTTTTTCGTGATTTTTCTTATTGTCGGATTGTTTGGTCTTATTTTGACATTTTTTTCTCCACGGTGGTTTGAAAAGACAGATCGACCCTTGCACAAATAAATTAGTCGGAAGTACTCGATATGGCCTAATTCATCGGTCATTGAAGAATTTCAATAATAAAGCAAAAAGAAAAAAAAAGTAGCTGTATTACGAAATCCAACTTAGGTAGCTAATTACAACAAAAAAATGTCAAATTAGCTAAACCTACCATTCCTACCCCACAAATCGTTCCTATATTACACAAATAATATAATTGACAAACATGTCCTCAGCTCAAACAAATTCTTCAAACTCGTCCAATTCAATAGCCTGTGGGAAACTCGCAATTGCCAAATCCTGCAAGATAAAAAAAAAAAGGCAAATATCAGATAATTGTGCAATAATATAATATATTTAATTAAAAAATAAAAGAAAATGATTGAATACTCACTCGGAGATTGAGTGACTAGGTAGGCCGCGCCACCAAAATCACAAGAACCAATTTTTCTAGCATTCTTTTGATAATAACTATTGAAAGCATATGATGCATGGGCCTCGAGTGAGTTAGGATTATAACATGTCGCACCCTCTTGAATTGGACGACAATCAGCCCCGCCTTCACCACAAGCATAATCGAGCGCATCCTGTAATTTCTTCTTCCCGGCCTCACCATTGGCCACGCACCATGTCTGTGCCGCCTTACTGGCTGACACCTCCCCACTTGGCGGCGCCGCTGCTACCGGTACTTGATTCTTGCTTCCATTATTCATCGCGGGCTGATGATTCTTTAAACCTTCTAGTGTGAGTGGTATGTCGTAGACTTTCTTCTCGTTCGGGTAGAAAAGTCCGTAATTTCTTTCTGAAGTGGGCCCGGTCTTCTGGTTTTCATTGAAGAGGGCAAATAAATAGACGTTTAGAGGCTGGTCGGGCCTCAAGGGGGTCCCACTACCGGTGAGCACTCTGCGGACAAGGTTGCCGTTATACGCCGCCGCATTGGCTGGAGTGGCGCCAACCTCATTTTCATCTCCATTTGAAGGCCACCCAGTTTCAGAGATCACCATTTTCAAATCTTTAAATCCCAATGCGTTCATGGCTGCAAAAACGGCGTCAATTTGGGCCTCGAACAGGCTTTTATACACAAGCCCGTTGTTCGGATCGGTTACGCCTTTGTTATCCCTGAACATAGCGTAGTCTAAAGAAATGGTGTCTGTATTCGCTATGTAAGCGAAAAATGGATATGCATTGACCATGAGAAAAGAATCCGTTTGTTTGAGAAAACTCAACATGGGCTTGATTACGGGTTCAACAAGGTCCGATTTGAATGATCCAGAGGAAGAAGGGTAGGAAGATTGAAGTGCACTCAATGCTACAGGGGAGCAGACTTTGATTTTCGAAGCAACGTCATACTTTGAGAGAGATGCGTGAACATTTTTCATGGCGGGTACGAGGAAAGTTGTGGTGTTTTTTGGGTCTACAAAGACTTCATTACCAACGGCAATGGCGTCAATCAGAGTTTTGGGGTAGTAAGGGATGATGTTTGTCTGGACCCACTTGTCAGTGAAGGACTGGCTAGCTGCGGCGGAGGAGAGTTGTTCATTAGGGAGCGCCACCGTGACGGAGATACCAGAGCCAGAAAGGGCAGACAGAACGGAGGAGTCAGTGTCGTAAAGCTTCACCTTGGTTAGACCCTGCGCTTTGAGGAGTTGCACCACCTGCGGCGGCGATGGGAGGTTGTTAGCCACACGGCCGTAGTTTATTCCAATGGTGCCGTAGTCACCTAGTGTCATTTGAGCCGACGATAAAACAAAAATAAAAGTGAAAAAATAGGGAGACAAATGAGCCGAAAATGCCATGCTCCGAATCTTGAAAAAACAGAGCAAGAGATTGGAGAGATTGGGGAAGAAGTTGTAAGCAGTACTAGATTGCGTTTCCCAGTCTCAAGAGTCAAGGTAGGCTTATATAGGAAAGTAGATTTGGGTGAAAACAAATGTAAAAATGGGGTAGTGGGTTCAGTGGGGTTGGAAAAATGGCACAGTTAGTGGGTTGAGTGGGTGGGTAAAGGGGTTTTTTTACTAATTTGCCATGGTTAAAGCGTTGGACCGGATTACGACGAGACATTTTGGGGATTAATGTAATTTCATTTTACCATTTTGAACGTTGGAGTTGGCAGTGGTAATGATAAAATTAGTCCTTTATCAGCGAAGTGGGCCAGTGTACGGATTTATTGGTGTAACGGGCATATTCTCACTGTGATTTCCAAGTTTCAGCTATGTCGACTGATCTTATCTCTCTGCAATTTTTCGCTGAACTAGAACGATGTATTTCAACTCCCATGTCGGGAGCGGTATCTTTAATTGAGATTTTGATATGTTTGTATTTTAAATTGAGATCTTAATAAATTTTAATGAAATCGTTCAAAAATCTAAATATCATTAATAATTTATGAATTTATAAATATTTCATTAATAGAGTGATTTTAAAAGATTTTGATAGATTTCAATTTTATATAACAAACTCTTTTAATTTTTTTCCATTTTCTTGTGCATTTTGTGAAAATCTATTTAAATAAATCCACGCAATTTATTTAAATTTATAATCTTTCAAAATCTGATTTGAAGACGCCTCTCTTATTGTTTAATTTTTTTTCAATAAATAATTTTACACTTACATTCAAAAGTTTTCTACTTTTTAATCCTTACTTCTCCAATGAATCACTATTACGAAATTTATTAATCCAAAAAATGGGACTCAAACAAATCCTTAGTAAATTTTTTTTAAAAATATATAATTTTAAAAAATAGGGAAAAAGACGTTAAACGGAACTAATTCTTCTCTTTCATAATTTATTGATACTTGGACACTAATCACTATTATCTAAACTTCAATGTCCGAACGTTTCTATTTTCCGTCGGTGTTAACGAGACTTTTTTCGAATTCATGTACTAAATTCACCAATTGCCAAAAACATTTTTCGTGTGGGATCCAAGTTGTATTGATTGTTGAAGAGAATAATATTACATTCTGATTGGTTAAAATTACATAAAATTAGTGACGTATTTGGCATGCATTTTATTCAAACCTTTTAATTATGAGACATAAGAGAGAAAAATCATCAACGGTCAGTTTGTAGAAGAAAACAAAATGAGGTCGGAGAATATTGCTGGTAACTTGTCATTCGGATAAATAGTAGTTCTCTCTCAAGTATCAAAGTATGCCTATGTTTGCCCCCATATTTTAAAATGCATTTTTTCCCCTACTTTTCAATAATATATTCTCCAATAAAATAATATTATACGTAAATTTTTTTTAAAAAAAATCTTTATTTTTTAACCAAACATTCTTAAAAATATTTTCTATCAAAATCAAAAATTCTTAAAAAAAAAAAAAAACCAATATTCCGGAATAAGTTTTTCTCCAAAATTTAATTTTAATGGAGGCCGAACAAAAGCTAAGCAAATATATTTGAGAAGAAAATATATTTCATTTTCACATTGAATTGAATTGAAGTAAATAAATAGTTATATCAAGTATTCAACAAAAAGTCAATAGAAATAAATAAGAGTTTGAAAAGCTTGCACATGCAAGGCCATCCAAAGCACATATTAACCTTCTAATGCAAGGAAATATAATAAATATGTCTATGCCCTCAGGCATAGTTCAGTGGTGCGAGAGGACGGGAGTGAGGTAGTCTTAGCTGAACTGGTAGCCGCAGTATGAGGATTCGATTCCTGCCTCTTGTAAGGTAAGAAATTTGACTCTTTGTGGGCTGATGATGTATGACAACTCTTGTACCCTGACATGTTGATGCATATTCAGCGATTTACCTCCTCCACAATGCTCTAGAAGCGAGACGGGGGACCCTCAAGGTTGATGTTCAACCTTTATATAACAAATAAGTCCGTCTCATTTGTATTTTAGAACTGAGCTGTGTGTATAACCTATAAGGTCAATTCTTCCCCTATCGACCTGTACAAGAATTACATGCCACAAGTTGTTGAGTACAGTTGAGAAGATTAGGAAAAGGCACAAGACTTTTATTGCAAAAAAATTTAATCCAACTACCTCTGCACCTTTTTTCAATTGCACACTATTTTCAATTACTTTAGTAGGTTTATTCAAGATGATATTTTCTTCTTAGATGTATTAACCAGGCAGTTGGGAGGATGTGACCATTGTGAATTATTTCAGCTCTTCCCCATTTATTTTTCAATTTTTTTCGATAGAAAGTCAAAGAAAGCTTCACTTACACGCCACCGCAATGCTTTTCGTGCCCTAATAAAAAAATTATTTAAGATTCTTTTTTTATTATTATTATTGTTATAAGATTTTAGTAGTCGCATATGATGTTATAAAGCTCGAAATGAATCACTCATTAGACCAATCTATAACTGATCCAATGAAAATTGAGAAATACGTTGAACTTTCGTAAATAACTATTAACCCAATGACTATCAATATTTTATTACATAATAAAAATATTTTTTTATTACATTGAATTGATCATGATTTACCACTGATTGACATCCGAATCAATAATCGAGTCATTTGAATACTAACGCAAATGAATATCCAAACCACCAACTACAAAACATTTCTGGGTGTTAAATGGGACAATTCGGCAGCAAGTCGGCGAAACTGTCTTTGAATTGTAGGACTAATTTATGGGTTTAATGATTATTCAAAGAATTTTTGAAGATTTAAATACTCATATGCACTTTTGTGACTCCACCCCCCACGCTTCACACACAAAAAATGGATTGCTTAACGTGTTGAATACAAAGAATAATGTAACGCCCACTAATTAGTTTTAATTTTTTTAAATCATGAAATTATAACTTTCGAGTTTCTTGATAAGCACGCCCTTATACTCATAAAAGATACATGGACCCTGTCACATGTGTATTGACTCGCTCTACACTTTGGCAGATTAGTGGAGGGGGGCTTTTGGACCCTGACCAGTTTGGGAAACATCCCGCAGTTTACCTGATCTACATTTTGAGGGGTCAAGGAGTAAATTCCAGGATTAGTGGCCGAAGGTGGACACCTGGGTATTAAAAAAAAGATACATTTTTATGTAATTTTAGGTGAACTTTAACATGCTAAAATAAGATATTCTACAACAAATAGAGGTTTTCTAAGTTCTAACTCGTACTTGTTCTTTTCCCTACGTGTTTTCAATTACGAATGCGATTTGCTATGCCAATTTCCCTTTCAAGCCCGGACATGATTGGTTAGGTTTTTTTAAGTATCCGGCTCATGTATAAGAATGGATTTCCAGACCAAATCCCAAAAAGTAATAAGTAAAACCACCCCCACTAATAAATATGATTAAAAAGATGGATTAATTTTGAAGGAGAGCCCAATGTCTGTTTGGGAAATATTATAATGAGATTATAATAAAGATACCCTAAATTTACTACATTATCCTCAAATGTGCTCCTATCTCATTTTGATTTGATTGTCGAGTGTGCTTAGTCTCTTGGAATTTGGTCGTAAGCAATACGTGAGTTACTGAGTGTGAAAGGATATATTTGTGCAATGTCATGAAAATTCCTATCTAATAAGTGAGTTCAATTAGACAAGTTATCAAGTGTGAAGAATATATTTGTGCAATGTCACGAAAATTCCCATCTAATTAATGACACCGGATTTCGTCATATAACGTGAATGAAGATAACAAGTGATGAAGTGAGAATTGGACCATTTTTTTCCATGTCGTCCACATTTTCTCATATTATGTTCACGTGATTGTTGATCACTCTATTTTCTTTTAGACGATGAAGGTCGAATTCAGAAAAACATTTAATCCTAATGGGAGGCTTCTCCACTATAAATTTTTAAATACAATATTGTCAAGGTTGGACAAATTTTTTACAAGAATTATTGTGCCTCTTGTCGACATGTATATTTGTATAGTGGATGGAGAATTGGAAAACGCACTTCACCGACTAGAATGCCTCTCCTCGTGTAAACTCTCTTTAAATTATAATTGTAGACGGTATATTTTATTAATAAAAAATAAACATAATAAAGATTTTAGCTGGGCTCAAACTAATCTCCACTGAATTGTGCAAAAGATAATAACTTGCTCCGTCCGAAGATAATATTCAAATCATTCTCATTTGTACTAAACTTTTTATGATAGGTTACGAAGAAAGTTCTGCATTAGCAGCTAAGTGCACATATAATAGGCGATGACGAAAATTCCTTCAACTGACATATTAAAAGAAGGGTAAATAGCACAGAACATCCTTACCTTTCAATGTCATTGTGCAAAATGTTCATACCTTTTATTTTTTGACATTTGCACCCCTACCTTCCACCTTTCATTGCTCCAAATGTCATTTTCAACCATTTTTTTTAATAAAAGACGATTTTACCTTCATATTCAAATAGAAGAAAAAGAAAAGGATGAATAATCAACTGCAACTATAATCCCTAAGTTTTTAAAAAATTACAAAGAAATCATAAATTCTCCACCACCACCGCTTTCACAACCTACCAAGCTGCCACCTATAGATCCATATAACACCACCTTACGACCACCACGCCCACCGAACTCCACCACTACCAATCTCCCTTTACTCCCCCACACGAATTTGAAGATTGGAACACTTGGGACCCACTAATTTTGGTCAAACACCTCTCCCGTGCATCGTGCCCGTGGAGAATTTTGGACCGAAATTGAAACGATTGGGGGGGGGGGGGATAATTGGTTCAATTAGATTCATACTCATTGTTGTTTAGATTTGTTGATGGTTCGATTGATGTTATTTTGGGGATTTAG